AAGCTGACTGGTCTAGATTCACTAACCTTTTAGACAATGAACTTCACCCAAGTCCCCTCAACTTCAACCAACATCCTGACCAACTTTGCACTGATATCACGAATATTATGATCAGATTTGCAAACAAAACTCTTCCCCGTGGCAAGACAAAACACTATCGAGTATTTTGGTCTAAACACCTTGAGGAACTGAAAAGGATTCGGGACGCCCTTCGCAACACTGCTGATCAGACTGGAAAAAGGGAAGACGCACAAGCCTGGAGACGGCAGTCAGCTGTCCTAAGGCAAGCCATCTTACAAGCTAAACAGACTTCCTTCGACAAGTTCATCTCAAATATCAACTATCAAAGTGATAGCCAACGCACTTTCGAATTCCTGGGTAACCTCCAAAACATCAGGGTAAGTCCCAAGAAAACACCAATACGCCTAAACAACAAACTGCTTACCACTCACTCTGAAATAGCTAACTGCTTTGCGAGGTTCTATTCCCACAATGCCATCAATGCCCAGCAACAGAAAAACCCTTTTTTTAGAAAATCTTCAAGAGATATAGAGATACAAATAAGACAATTAGGTGAAACTAAGGAAGACAAAATTAAACCAAATAATTAACTTACTGAACTATTCAGGCCTTGCAAACTTAATGCTACGATAAAACAGCTAAAGTGCAAGAAGTCTCCTGGCGAAGACGGTATTCATCGGGAATTACTAATTAGAATGGGACCAAAAGCCAAGAAAACCATACTGACGCTTTTCAACAAAATCTGAGAGACCAGTCTTGTACCTAGCCAATGGAAAGTTGTCATAGTAATACCAGTACTAACAATGGGCAAATCCATTAGCCATTTTGACAACTAAAGGCCTGTCCCTCTCACAAGCGTGCTGGCTAAACTTATGGAGAATGGTCAACAGGAGACTCACCTGGTTCCTTGAGACCAACAATATTCTTAGGAGTGAACAAGCAGGTTTTAGGCCACAAAGATCAACGAACCAACAAATAGCCACTTTCTCCCAACATATCAAAGATGGCCTTGATGCAAGAAATACTCTTACGGCTGTATTCGTCGATTTCGAATCAGCGTATGACTTATTATGGAAAGAGAATCTAATTCTGAAATTGGCAATGATTGGTATTAAGTATGACATGCTATACTGGATAAAAGCATTCATTGGACAAAGATCGTGTAAAGTCAGATACGAAAATGCTCTATCAAAATCCAATCTTTTGCAAACAGGCCTTCCACAGGGAGCTGTCACAAGCTGCACTCTTTTCAATGTCTTCATCAATGACATAGCCGAATTGGTACAGACAGTCACGGGCATCAAGTCCTTACTTTATGCAGATGATCTTTTTCCATGGCATTCCGCCCCTAAGAAAAACGCTCAGGAGAGGACAGAAAGTGCCCTAAATTGTGCACTTAAACTACTAGCTAACTGGTGCGACAACAATGGCATGGTAATTAACACTGCAAAAACTGTATTCCAAACTTTTTCTTTGGCCCATCACAGCATAAACCCGCTTTTAGGGAACAAGGATACTACCCTAGAAAAAGCCAATGAGCTCACTTATCTCGGAATGACGTTTGACACAAAGCCAACGTGGAAAAGTCACATTGCTAAAATAGCAGAACGAGTCTCCAATAGACTGAACGTACTGAAGCGTCTTGCTGGTAGCCTATGGGGCTGTGCACACTCAACTCTCAACATCACTTACAAGATGTTTATTCAGCCAATAATGTTGTATTGCTGTGAGCCACTCATTACAGCCACAGAGGTGACTCTCAAACCCCTCGAGAAGGCACACAACCAAGCATTACGACTAATTACTGGAGGGATACAATCAACACCGANTCACATTGCTAAAATAGCAGAACGAGTCTCCAATAGACTGAACGTACTGAAGCGTCTTGCTGGTAGCCTATGGGGCTGTGCACACTCAACTCTCAACATCACTTACAAGATGTTTATTCAGCCAATAATGTTGTATTGCTGTGAGCCACTCATTACAGCCACTGAGATGACTCTCAAACCACTCGAGAAGGCACACAACCAAGCATTACGACTAATTACTGGAGGGATACAATCAACACCGATTGATGCAATGCTCCTGGTTAAACGGAATACCACAATATGTTCCCTTATCTAGGTGAAGGCCTTGATACTGTATGAGAAGCTACTGCGCATTCCCATGGATAACTACTTCAGCAACTATGAGGATAGACCAAGACATCTGAAAAAGCAATCTGTTCTAATACAGAAAGCCAGAGAACTGAAGAAAGAATTACAAATCGATGACAAACCCGCAAGTCTCTCTCTCCCCATGAACCCATTAGCAGACATTGATGTAGTGTGTTGCACCCAACTGCTTGACTTCTTCAGGTAATCAAACACCCCTCCAGAGCAAATGCGCTCACTGGCCCTTGAGACAATCAATGTCAACTATCCTGGAGGTCAATGGCTCCAAGTCTTCACTGATGGGTCATGCATAGAAAGCCAAGCAAACGATGGTGCAGGTGTCTATTCTGAACTCTTCTCTTTCTACGCAGCAGCGGGAAACTACAGATCCGCTTTCAAAGGTGAAATAGAGGCCATTAGGATAGCACTAAGCCAATTATGTTATCTGGATACGAAATTCACCAAAGCGGTGATACTTGCGGACTCACAGTCAGCAATAAACTCAATTGGAAACAGAGAGACACCCAAAAAAGCTTAGATAAATGTATGTAGAAAACTCTATGAGCTGCTTAGAGGGAAAAACAAAACAGTGGTCCAACAATGGATTCCTGGTCACTGTGGCATAAAAGGCAATGAGCTTGCTGACACACTCGCTAAGAAGGAGACAACAATTTTGCAATGCATGGACCGACCGATGCCTTTCCACACAAAGAAGGCCTTAATCAGGAGAGAATTCCAGACCTCAAGGTGCAACGAAATTAAAACTCGAACAAAGGAGAAACAGTGGACAGTGGCACTCTCCGACATAGTCGACTGGCCAAGAATCGAATTTGTTGCTGAGTTTAGACCACGTTCCGGACACGATTGCCTGGCAAAGCACCTTCACAGATTGGGAGTATACACTCAACCCACATCCCCCCCTATGTAACCTACAGGAGGAAATGGAGAAGACCCACCTGATTCGGTGTCCAGCCCTAAAGTCAACTACGGAAAGCCAGAGATACTGGAAAGCATGAAGACAGCTAATGAATTGCTATTAATTAACTTCATCTTCCTCCCCACAGACAGTGATACTTGACAGTCTTCAGAATAGATTTGAAATTGGCTCCACCATCGACTTCGCCTGTAAATGTATATGTAAATACTGATAAATCTTGCATGAATGATTGTTAAAATTAAGTGGCCCAATTGATTACACAAAGTGGCTGGTTTCAATTGAGTCCGCTTTCATTGTCTCACATTTTAATTGTTCAAATTAATTGCTGTATTCCGAGTTGTAAATAAATCGATTGAATTTGCTTTGCATAACTAGAAACTCCAGGCATATTCAATTACCTTGGGAAGTATAGAATTAATTAACAGAAAATCTTGACGAAGGCACTTAATCAGTTGTATAGTAAAAAGAGTTTCATTATAATTCAGTTTAGTAAAGTTTTGGATTGCATTTACTATTTTTAGATTAAAATTCCATCCATTTTTTCACTACCTCTTATTCAGAAACCGAAATCATCTGATCATATTATAGTCAGAACAGAGGACGAACTCTATGCACCAAGACAGAACATCAACTCAGCATTGAAAGTAAAATTTTCATTTTTACTAAAATTCACGGCATCTTCTTGAGTCAATTAGACCTAGTACATTGTCACTCGATGTGAAAGAACTGGATTTCAATCACACTCGGTGTTTGTTTCCTCTGAAATAGTTCACAAGTCGAGATCAATTGAAGGGTCTTCTCAACCTCAACAAGTAATGCTATCCTTCCAACCGAATTTAACACAGAAATTAACCCTCGAACACACCTTCTAGCCTCCTTGCAAATCTTCAATGAGGTGATAAGACGGTGACGAATGTGATCTTCACCTCGATTTCCAGAGTGTTTTTCAAATGCCATTTTCTGTACCTACTCCACATTGAGTCATACATATCTTTCACTGAAAAAACATTGTCTATTTTCTTTATTTTTAATAATAACTATGTTCTTGATTATTTGTCTCTCCTGGAATGCTTACTATCATCTCAAATAGCTATGCTCTTTATTTTTGCAAAATTTGAAACAGGTTTTCTTCTATTTTGAAATTTATCAATGACAGTTAATGTGACGAAATCTTGTGAAACCAATTGATATCAATAGCCGTTCAGTGATACGCTTTACCCACTTTAATTCCCCTAACTCGAAATTTTTCATATTGTCTTCGTGGTGTGTTTTAAGGACTCCTACTAAATAGGCTTAAAGACATTCCCCGGTGAGGCAGTCCTAAATCGGAAGACATGAGCACTTTATTTGCAAATATGCGCAAAGGAATTGTGAAGGTCTTCAAACAATTAATTATGACCGATAAGCCGTGTAGCTTTCAGTCACTAATTCACAACTGACTTTGAAATGAGCCCATCAAGGAGACTTCACGGAATAACTCGCCTTTTACGGCCTCTTATTATTATCAAGTTGAGAACTCGATAAGAAGCGATTTGGTGGTCAGAGACTTTTGGACTCATATTTATTTATTTATTTAAAATGGCAGGCTTTATGATATTTATTATTAGCCCTTAATCTTTGACTTCAGCTTCCCCCAAAGAGAGGGAAGGTACATTTATAGCAATTAATTAATAGCAATTCATTAGCTGTCTTCATGCTTTCCAGTATCTCTGGCTTTCCGTAGTTGACTTTAGGGCTGGACACCGAATCAGGTGGGTCTTCTCCATTTCCTCCTGTAGGTTACATAGGGGGGGATGTGGGTTGAGTGTATACTCCCAATCTGTGAAGGTGCTTTGCCAGGCAATCGTGTCCGGAACGTGGTCTAAACTCAGCAACAAATTCGATTCTTGGCCAGTCGACTATGTCGGAGAGTGCCACTGTCCACTGTTTCTCCTTTGTTCGAGTTTTAATTTCGTTGCACCTTGAGGTCTGGAATTCTCTCCTGATTAAGGCCTTCTTTGTGTGGAAAGGCATCGGTCGGTCCATGCATTGCAAAATTGTTGTCTCCTTCTTAGCGAGTGTGTCAGCAAGCTCATTGCCTTTTATGCCACAGTGACCAGGAATCCATTGTTGGACCACTGTTTTGTTTTTCCCTCTAAGCAGCTCATAGAGTTTTCTACATACATTTATCTAAGCTTTTTTGGGTGTCTCTCTGTTTCTAATTGAGTTTATTGCTGACTGTGAGTCCGCAAGTATCACCGCTTTGGTGAATTTCGTATCCAGATAACATAATTGGCTTAGTGCTATCCTAATGGCCTCTATTTCACCTTTGAAAGCGGATCTGTAGTTTCCCGCTGCTGCGTAGAAAGAGAAGAGTTCAGAATAGACACCTGCACCATCGTTTGCTTGGCTTTCTATGCATGACCCATCAGTGAAGACTTGGAGCCATTGACCTCCAGGATAGTTGACATTGATTGTCTCAAGGGCCAGTGAGCGCATTTGCTCTGGAGGGGTGTTTGATTACCTGAAGAAGTCAAGCAGTTGGGTGCAACACACTACATCAATGTCTGCTAATGGGTTCATGGGGAGAGAGAGACTTGCGGGTTTGTCATCGATTTGTAATTCTTTCTTCAGTTCTCTGGCTTTCTGTATTAGAACAGATTGCTTTTTCAGATGTCTTGGTCTATCCTCATAGTTGCTGAAGTAGTTATCCATGGGAATGCGCAGTAGCTTCTCATACAGTATCAAGGCCTTCACCTAGATAAGGGAACATATTGTGGTATTCCGTTTAACCAGGAGCATTGCATCAATCGGTGTTGATTGTATCCCTCCAGTAATTAGTCGTAATGCTTGGTTGTGTGCCTTCTCGAGTGGTTTGAGAGTCATCTCAGTGGCTGTAATGAGTGGCTCACAGCAATACAACATTATTGGCTGAATAAACATCTTGTAAGTGATGTTGAGAGTTGAGTGTGCACAGCCCCATAGGCTACCAGCAAGACGCTTCAGTACGTTCAGTCTATTGGAGACTCGTTCTGCTATTTTAGCAATGTGACTTTTCCACGTTGGCTTTGTGTCAAACGTCATTCCGAGATAAGTGAGCTCATTGGCTTTTTCTAGGGTAGTATCCTTGTTCCCTAAAAGCGGGTTTATGCTGTGATGGGCCAAAGAAAAAGTT